CTCAAAATATAAGTCGTTTAAGATTTTTGTACAAGAATTAAGAAAACAGTTAATTTTGCTAAATTATAATAAACTCAAGGATAATTTGATCAAATTATCTTTTATCTCAAAACCAATAGTTGCTTGTGAAGTATTTATTATATTTAGTGTAAACAAGAGCAACATTGAAAAAATATTATTTATTACTTCTTGAAATACACAAAACGACTTATATTTTAGGACAAAACAACAAATCAAAAATGGCTTATATTTGGGTACAAAGGGAGTAAATGGGATCATGTTGTTATCTAAATACCGCTACATGTAATGTGCAAATTAAATTACAGATATGACTATGAATTTGTTCATAGGAAAAAAAAGAGATTAATTTATAAGTTTATTGGCCCTACTTATACTAGCTCAATTTAAATTACCAACAGGTTAAATAGAAGTGAACTGCATTTCTAAGTCCAATTTGAATATGAAAAACTATATCAAAAAGGAGTTTTCTAAGAAATTGTATTAATTTTATTTATAATATTTCATTCGTCCAAAAAGATAGTCCACTTTCTATTTTTATACAAATTAAGAAATAACAATTATTATGATTAAAAAATAATTTTATTCATATAACTTTTTTATTATGCAAATCTTAAATAAAACATGAGTAATTATTATATTGAAATAATAAAAACAAGAATGAATAATGTTATTGAAAATGAGATAAAATTTAATAAGAGTATAGTAGACAATTTAAGGATTAATTATAATGTAAAAAAGCAAACTATACTACATTTTGAGACAAACCAAAAATGAAAGATAAATTACCTTTTTGGGAGGGAGGAAAAAATTAAGGACAGTCAAATTGTATTAATCCATCTATATAAATATATAATTCCTAAGGCTTAAATGCTTATTTGGCAACATGTTAGAATATGGAAGTGATGGCATAACATTTTATTTTTTAATTATAATTAATATGTTTTATATTTAAATAAAAATTAAAATGTTGTTTATTAAATAATGGAGTTACAATTCAAGTAATAAGATTTCATTATAATTAATATACAATAAATATAAAGTTTTTTATTAAATAGTTTAAATATAAAGTTTTTTAATTAAATAGTTTTATTCTAATAAATTTAATGGAGTTATATAAGTCATAGTTAATAAAATTAATTAAATAATATAAATTAGATTAACAAATAGAATTAAAATATTAATTTCAATTCAATAAAATTTATTTCCTTAAAATAAATATTCTTATACTTCATTTGATTTGAATATATGAGAATTTCAAAGAAAAAAAAAACTAAACATATCACTTGAATAACAATAATTTGCTTACAATAATTAATTGTGCTAATTAATATTTCAGTTCAATATTTGAGAATTTAAAAAAGAAACTATAATTTTACCTTCATCATTTAATCAGAACTACATAAGCAAATTATTTACATTAAAGCAACACAAATATAAATTTAAATAATTTTCTTGAAAGTTTCATTCAATTTAATTAAAAAAAATAGAAAATAATATAATCCACGCATTGTGCAGGTTCAGAACTAGTATATGAACTAGTATATATATATATATATATATATATATATATATAATATAAGCAAAACATGTTTCCAAAGAGAGTCATATAAAGCAAACATGTTTTTCCAAGAGAGTGCCAAGTGAATTTCTAAAATATATTAGTGCCATGTAGGATTAAAATAGTTAGATTATACCATATAGGATTTCAAAATGTTTTAAAAATTTATAATTATGGTATATTAATTGCTTTGATTTTCTGTTGATTGAAATTAATTTGTAAATAAATGCAAAAATATAAATGTCAAGACATAATAATCAATAATATGAAAAATAAAAATTATTTTGAAACGACCCGGAAAATCTTTTCCAAAATCTTTTCATTTAAGAATTTAATTGTGAATTTCAACCAATGAAATTCAGCGGACAATGTTTATTTATTGCTTTACCAGACCCGTAAACCAATTTGAATTTTTTCAAAACCAAGTGAAAAATCCGTAAACCAAGCAAAATTGACCCAGATCACTGAATTGGACCAAACCGCTTCCAATCGAACTGCAATGACCCAGAAAACTCTAGAAACCCGTTTTTTTTCTCCTTTCTCTTCTTCTTCTTCCCTCTCCAACGAAGGTAGGCACGTGACCCCCCTATCTTCCTGTTTCGGCCACCGTTCGATGAGAGCGAGGTGGCGATCGACTTACCTCGTGCCACTGGTCAAGTTTCCAGCCTTCTCTCATGCAGAAAGAGGCACTAACAGCATGAAATGAGACCGAGATGCTTCATCGGTTGCCACTCCAATTTCTAGCGATATCTCGCCATTTCGTTGATCTCAGACTCCGGGGATGGTCCGAATCGACTCTTAGTCATCTCCTGAACATTTCCCTCCATTAACTTCAAAAATGGGGCCAGTATGGTGTAGGTGCCATTGAAGGCGGTGGTGGAGCAACTGTCAAGCTCGATTCTGACCAATCGGCTCGCCAAATGCACAAACGGAGGATGGATTTGAGTTCCTCACGAATTTTTGAGTAGAGGGATGTAAGCGCCGCTCAAATCCAGCAGAGGCCGGTTTTCCGGCCACTGTTCATGGCGGTTCGACGACCACGAGTCTCTGGCGAGGCCTCAAGAGATAGAATGATCTTCTCTTCGCGCGGATCGTGGAATCATAGTCCGATTTTCAATTGGTATGCTCTAAGACTTAGTTCGTCATTTTTGTTACTTAGTTCGTCATTTTTTGTTAAAAATTTCAAACTTAAAGTTTATTGGTTAATATAGTTAATTTCGAACAATAAGAAATAAGTAATAGAAGGACTTTGAAATATTAGGTTTTGAAGTTTGTGAAAATATTTGGAGTTTTTAGGAGAATTTGAACTTGAGATTCAGTCGTTAGAAATCGTGATCATATTAGATAATTGATAACGTGGGTTAACTAGAATTGATTACTGTTGTGAATTAAAATTTAGGAAGTTTAGTTTTATATGACTATGATATTGGGCCTTATTACCTCTAAGTGTAAATCATGAAGCAATAACAAGTACTTGATTATCTTTATTAACTTGTGATTTAGTTGTTAGTTAAAGAATGTATTAACCTATGGTACAATTGTGGATGAGTTGATCTTGGATGCTTTTGGTGCAAAGTTTAGTTTTATATGACTATGATATTGAGCCTTATTACCTCTAAGTGTAAATCATGAAGCAATAACAAGTACTTAGTTATCTTTATTAACTTGTGATTTAGTTGTTAGTTAAAGAATGTATTAACCTATGGTACAATTGTGGATGAGTTGATCTTGGATGCTTTTGGTGCAATGATGGGATGATGTTAGTAAATTGTTGATAATTAAAAGGAATGAACTATTAGCCAATTGATTTCTTGATATGCTTTCATTTAATTGTAATATTTAATTATTTGTGTTCTGACATTGCTATGCCTTGTTCGTGTGTATTTGGGATGAAGTGGGTCACCAAGGGTTTGTGAGGACGGTACTGAAAATGATGAGAATAAGAAATTTGACCGTCGGTCAGGTATGGGGAGATCGGTGCCCCCGTATGCACCTAATGATATGATATGGATGATATGGAAAACTATATGGTGGTCTCCTATTGGTATAGAAAAGAAAAGAGAGAATGAAAAAGCAATGAGAGGGCTGGTCAAGTGAGGATTAGACTGGTCAGCCATATATGAGGGATCGGCTCCCTGGTACACACGTCATGAGAAGATGGGCCATATGGGAGGACGGCTCATCGGGGGTTTCGGTGACGCCATAGACCAATTTTCACGTGATGTGATTGTGTGAAGTTGTTAATAATTGTGAGTGCTGTTGTTATGCCATTTGTGTGATTGTCAGCGTGATCATATAACTAGTTGAATGACTAGATTGATATCATGTGAATGCATGTATTATGTAATAATTATTTTTCCTTATAAAACTCACATTTCTTGGTTAACTTTTCAAGAAGTAAATTTCTTTTTATTCCGGTTTAAGTTCTGTTTCTTCACTGTAGAGCTACAAAGAAATTTTCCTAGTTTCAGTGGTTATTTTGCTATATAGCTATATGTACAAGAACCTATTTATACCTGTCTATTAGAGAACTCCACTGTTGTAGGATTTATATACTTCTAGTTGTGTATTAATATAGGTGAAATAATTTTATGAACCCATATTATAAATGTAACATATTACAAATTGAGCCTGATCTATAAAATGCATAAAATGTTAAATATGAGGCCGAAATATAATATAATTATGAAGTTTACTGCTTATGGCAATATGGGCTGAATTGTAGAAATTTATATTAAAATAGTTGAATTTTAGTGATTCAGGCTTACCACAGGCCTCGAGGGCCTTAAACTTATCTAGGCCTTAGTACCGGTTCGGCCCATAAAAACAAGTTGTGACATATTTGATTAAATAAATGATTAGATAAATAATTAGCACAAAAAAAATTTCTCTATTAAATGAAATGTCCATTTCAAAATCATAAATTTTTATTTGAATATTTAAATAAATAGAATTAAATAGAATATTTTATTTTGTAACGTTATTATAATATATTTTTAAAAATAGTTCAATATCATTATTACAATTTACAAAATATTTAACTATATTTATTAGATTAAATTTGAACATTGCAAATCTCAACATTATTAATCTATAAATTAATTAAGTAAATATTAAAAATATTTTAATAAAAAGTGAGATAAAATTTAAATTAAATATTAAAAATTAATATTTATTGTGGATAACACAAGTATGTAGCCAGCTGTTCTATACACCAAGCATCTCACACGTGTGGCTTCTCCTAAAGATTTTAGAAGTTGTTGACGTGACTCAAACCATGATGGCCACGTGCCCCATAGTTACGACATAGCTACATTTCATTATTAGGATACTAACAGTAAAAAGAAAATCACATGTGAAACTACAAAAAGAGATTAGAATGGTCTGATTTTCAGGGCTCCAATTTACCCTGCAGACACTTTTGTCTGTTTTGTTTCTCCCTCTAGACAGTTACTGTAGCTTTCACATAATTCCAGTTATAAGAAGACAATCTTCTCTTTTACATATTTTATACAGCAACTCTCTTCTCTCCATTATCCTAAGATTCCTTCTTCTTCAATTATTCAGAGAAAGAAAAAGAGATGAGGCATTTTGCTTTGGCTTGTTTGCTAGTAATTTTGATCTACCAGCAGGGAAATTTTCATATCCATGTTAAAGCAGGAGACAGTTTTATTAGAACTAGAGGAACCCATTTCTTCTTGAATGGTAATCCTTACTATGCAAATGGGTTCAATGCCTACTGGTTGATGTATATAGCTTCTGATCCATCTCAAAGGTATAAAGTTTCTTCTGCTTTTCACGAAGCAGCTAGCCATGGCCTCTCTGTGGCTAGAACTTGGGCTTTCAGTGATGGAGGCTATAGGCCTCTTCAGTACTCGCCTGGCTCCTATAATGAACAAATGTTTAAGGTCTCTTTTCAACCCTATTTGTCCTTTCTCTTTTATTTTTCTTTTCTTATTCAGAGTTTGTTTTTTTTCTTTTGGTTTGAAGGGACTGGATTTTGTTATAGCTGAAGCTAGAAAATATGGAATCAAACTCATATTAAGCTTGGCTAATAACTATGAGAGCTTTGGAGGGAAGAAGCAGTATGTAAATTGGGCTAAAAATGAAGGGCTATACCTTTCTTCTGATGATGATTTCTTTAGACATCCTGTTGTTAAGAATTACTTCAAGAACCACATAAAGGTATAACTCTTCTTCTTCCTCAGGTTCAAGATTCATTCTGTTTATACATAGATTTTTATTGTTTTGTTCTTCTTTCTCTTTTTTTTTTTTTTCATTTTTTTGTTTTTTTTTCAAAATCTGATGAAGGCATTTTTTTTTTTTTTTCATAAATCTTATGAAGGCAATTTCTTGGATTTCTTCTAATTTTGTGCTCTGTATCTTAGCAATTCTGATTTTTTTTAGATAAATAAAGTAATATATTTATGTATTTATTTATTTTGCAGACTGTTCTTAACAGATATAACAGCTTTACTGGAATTCATTACAAAGATGATCCAACAATCATGGCTTGGGAGCTGATGAATGAGCCTAGATGTACATCTGATCCTTCTGGAAGGACTATTCAGGTTTCTTTCTTTCTTATTTGTTTGTTTGTTTGTTTATTATCTTTCATCTCTTTTGTATTATTTTTTATTATTAAAGTCCATGCCAAAACCACCCAATTTAAGAAGTTCAAATCTTTAGGTGAGGATATTATTTTTCTAACAATTATGTAAATAAGTTTTAATATCTATATGTACTATAATAATAATAGTTTAGCAAATTTCTTTATTATTAAATGGAATTTGAAAATAAATATTTAAGTTGGGTTCAACACTATTTTATTATGACCAAAAAATCGAATCAAACCAAAAACAATTACTTATGTTATTTAAGTCGGTTTGATTTGATTATTTCTATTCAACTTCGGTCAAAAATAATTTGTAATCTAAATTGGAAAATTGAAATAACTAAATGAAATTAATTTTGAAAAAATGCCATTAATTTAATTTTGGCTATTTCTGATTCAAACCAGACCCAATTTGCTTATGCTCATCCTTACTGTGAAGGAGGAAGTCAAATCTTTTTAACCTGATTAAAAAGTAAATAAGCTATGATTATATATAATTTTTCATGAAATAATAAAATCATTTAAACTTTTGTAGGGCTATGATGAAGTTTCTGCATAGATATATAAAGTTAATGTGCAATTTTCCATATGGACCTAATTTTGTTGGTCCACTTGCTCCTCTGCAATAAATATTGGAGCAACTTTTGCAGCTCTTTTGCTTTTTAGCCCCACCTCCATGTGGGCAAGGACGTTTCAATAAAAGCAAAGGTTGGCTATTTCTTTTTAAATAAAAGAAATTAATTATTCACTTCAATGAAAATGTCTGGTTTTAGGTATGGCCGGTTCAATGAACCGCCGGTTTTGGTTCATTGAACCGTCGATTCGAGATATTTAAAATTTTAAATCGGAATTGACTCTTGAACCTCCGGTTCCGGTTCGGTTTCGATTCCGGCACGGTTCAGCACGATTCCGGCGAACCGATGGTACAAATTACGGTTTCGATTCGGTTTCGGTAGGCATGGCCACCGGTTCAGTTCTAATCGAAATCGAACCAAAACTGAACCGTACTGTAGACGAACCAAAATCGGACCGAAATCGGTGGTTCAAAATTTTGAACCGGAACCGGCAGTTCAAAGGCCGATTCAAAATTTTGAACCGGAACCGGCAGTTCAAAGGCCGATTAAGGTTCATGTGAATGTTAAAAAATGAACCTGAACCGGTCCGGAACCGGCGGTTAACCGGCGGTTTCGGTCCGGTTCGAACCGGATTCACAAACAAAATTATTTGGTGCAATAATACTTAATTTATAAAAAGTAGTGAAAAAAAACATCATCATTTCGCTTATTTGGTAAAAAAAATGTTTAGTAGTGAAAAAAAGCATCATCATTTCACTTAATTAGCCGTTTGAACTTTTTTTTTAACAAATACCTATTTTTTTCTTTTTACAAATGAACAATACAATTTACACAAGGTTCAAAGTTCAAATTTACAGCCAAGGTGACAAAAGTTCAAGAACGGCTAGTTGTGAATGCCTTGGGGTGACATTTAATTTTTTTTTTATTTTTTGCTAATAAATTTAATTCATTTTTAATCAATTTATTTATTTAGTTTATATAGATGTTACTAATTATCCAAAAATCTATGTGTTTTTTATTCGCTGTTATAAGGGAATATGCGATAACATAATATATTATGTCTAATTGTATAGTATGACGGTAATTGTAAGAAAGACATTATATTGTTTTGGATGAATTTGTAGTAAAGTTTTAATAAATAAGATTAAATAACGATAATTGATTAATAATGAATAAAATTATTACCAAAAAAATAGAAGAAAATTTAAATGTCAACTCAAAGAAAAGGACTCAAAACTAGGAGAGCCGTTTGATACTTTGAACCTTTGTGGTAATATTGTATTAATGTTCATTTGTAAAAGAAAAAAATAGTATCTACGATGGTAAAGAGAAGAAAAGTTCAAGACACGAGCTAATTGAGAAATGATGTATGCTAGTATTTATGGTGGCAGCTACGCTCAGATAGTTTACTGTTTTTTTTTACCAAATAATGTTGGAAATGATATGGTTTTTTTTTCACTATTTTTTTATAAATTAATATTAATTGCAATAAATGAATTTTTGTTGTGAATTCGGTTCGAATCCGGACGGGAAACCGCGCGGTCTTCAGGTTCATTTTTTATACATTCACCATGAACTTTAACCAGCCCTTGAACGCCAGTTTCTCGGTTCAAAAATTTTTTGAACCGGCGATTTTGGGTTCGTGATTTAATAGTACGGTTCGGGTTCCGGTTAAGAGACCGGAAACCGGGTGGCCATGGCCTATTTGGGTTCCAATGAAAATGAAAATAATTCCGGTTCAAAATTTTGAACCGCCGATTTTGGTTCGTTTACAGTACGGTTCGGTTCCGGTTAGAACCGAACCGGTGGCCATGCCTATTTGGTTCCATGAAAATGAAACTAAAATTTAGAAAATAAATATTATAAATTTTAAGCTTTTTTTTAAATATAATATTAGACATTTGGCTTCAAATCATAAGGAAGAAAAATACTATTTCGTCCCTAAAATTTGACCTAATTTACTGTTTTGTTCCTCTATTTCGGTAAATTCTGTAAGATATTTATGAGGTATTGTTGTTAGAGAATAAGATGTTCCTGATGTTCTTGAGAATAAAATTGAATTATTAAAATACCCCTTATGACTAAAAACCTCCATGGCCACCTTGATTTTCATCAACCAAATATAAAACTGAGTTCAGCTGAGTTCTGCAGTTCCTCCAATTTGCATGATTTAAGTAGAAAAACACTAAAGACATAGAGCTCTTAAAATCAGAGGTGGCCTCTTCCGCCTCTTCTCTTGGTCTCTCTTTCTCTTCTGCTTCTTCTTCTTCTTAGTTCTCTCATTTCCTCTTCTTCTGGTTCAACGATGCTAATATTCGAAAATCAAGTCCTATGTAAAGGAAAAACAAACGCACAAACTAAAATCTCAAGAACATTCAGGATAATAATACCAAATCCGATAATAGCTCAGAAAAGGCTATAAATAACAAAGACGATAATGAGAAAAGGGCTTTTCTTTTAAGATTTGAATCTGAGAGAAAAGTTAGAAAAGATTAGGCGGATAAGATTTTAGGACTTTTCTAACTTTGCAGGGCATTTTAGTCTTTCTATATTCTATTAAAGTTGAAAATCACTCAACATAGCCGGAAGGAGCAATTTGTTAGACGAAGCCAAACTACAAGGACTAGTTGTAAGATTTCCGAAAATAAAGGATGAGATAGTAAATTAGGTCAAATCTCAAGGACTAAATTGTATTTTTAAACTAAAATAGTATTATGACTTGTTGATCTAACAAGAAATTCTAATGAAAAATTGAAAAATATTGATAGATCTTCAAAGTGCTTGATTAGACAAATTTTTTGAATTTTTTATACATGTGATTTTTATCCATTAACTAGTTACTCATGACAAGTACAGAGAATTTGCATCACTAAATCTAACGGAAGAACATGCCCCACTAGTAACCTAAAAAAAAAAAAATGAAGAGTATCATCTATTTAATACATTCTCCACAAATTGCACATCTATCCAAATAAAAACAAATCAATTGTAAAAAAAAACTAAACTAAATACTTCACATGAAATAGAGAGATTACAAATTATAATCTTTCCTATTTCTTTTTGCAAGGATTCATTTCTCTTTTGCATATATTAATCTCATATTTAATAATATTTATTCTTGGATTTTTATGGCAAGGCTTGGATAATGGAAATGGCTCAGTTTGTAAAATCAATAGACAGAAATCATTTGCTTGAAGCTGGCTTAGAGGGATTTTATGGACATTCAACACCACAAAGGAAGACTCTCAACCCTGGTCTTGAAATTGGAACAGACTTCATTGCTAATAACCGCATTCCAGCCATTGATTTTGCCACACTTCACTCTTATCCTGATCAATGGTAACAAATTATCATCCTTTATTATTAGTAGGGATATAACTGAACCAAGCCGTGTTTGAGTTACCCGATTCTCGACTCGAGAATAACTCAATGAGTTCTACCAGCTCGGCTTATTTACAGTCCTAAATTCACTTGTAAAACTAGAGATAATTAATTTATATTTTTTATGTTAAACAGGTTATCCAGCTCTAACAATCAATACCAACTTAGTTTCTTGAACAACTGGCTGAATGCCCATATCCAAGATTCACAGTACATTTTAAGAAAACCAATCCTCATTACAGAATTTGGCAAATCTTGGAAAGATCCTGGTTTCAGTACATACGAAAGAGATGAAATGTTTAGCACTGTATATTACAAAATATATTCATCTGCTAAAAGAGGAGGGGCAGCAGCTGGCGGCCTTTTTTGGCAACTTCTGACAGAGGGAATGGATAACTTTCGAGATGGTTATGAGATAATTTTGGGTGAAAATTCATCGACTGCAAATGTTATTGCTCAACAGTCGCATAAGCTGTATCAAATCCGTAAGATTTTCGAGAGAATGAGGAATGTGCAGAGGTGGAAGAGGGCGAGAGCAGCTAGGAGGCGTCAGTGGCAGCACGGAAACAGGGGAAGGCGTATTGGAAATTGAAATTTTGAGTGTAGGAGTGAATGGTGTGTTTATGGTAAGAGTAATTTGGTTTAGTTATTTGAGGTTTTGAGATATTGTGTCTCTCTTAGAGATGATTGTTGTTCATCCAGGAGGGTTGGTTTAATTAGGTTATTAGAGTGTGTTGGATGGAGTAAATACCCGCTTAAAAGTGATTTATTCCTTAGTGAGTCGACCTGGCGTAAGCATAGTTCAATGGATTAGAAATATCTGATTGGGTAATATTAAAGAAAGAATGTTATGAGTCTCTTAAGTGGTTTTAGATTTATAGGTTAAGTGAAATGCAGTTGGAAAATTGAGATGGGGTATGGGATTTTCAAATATGTTTGTATTCTTTGTAATTTGAGGAAATTCAACTACCTAAGAGGGAAGCCTTTTGGAAGAAAAATATTAATTTTAAATATGAATTATGTTTTTAAAATTAATTAAAATAATTCATCCATTCATTGTGAATGGAAAAAACTAAGTTCAGAGGGTTGCCTCCTATAATGGTGGTTTACCAAAAAATAATTCATCTATTAAATAGTTTTTTTTGTTAATTTTCTATTAAATTGAAATAAAATATTAATTTTACTCATTCTACTTTTGATGCTTAAGGATGAATATTTCATTCTCATGATTTCTTCATGCTCCTTCATGGAACCTTGAAACTGTCATGATTTATGGGCAAGCATGGCCTTGTAACATGAAAAGATGCCACTGGTTAAGGTGTTTGTGGATGGATTTGGTTTGGTTTAAATAGAATAATTGAATCAAACTTAAATTGGTTTAGATACAATAATTGAATCAAACTTCAAGCGATGATTTGAAAAAAATTAAAATCAAATTAAATTATCAAAAATTTAAAATCAAACCAAGCTTTTAGCGGCGGTTTGATTTGGTTTAATTCGAATTGACGGTTTAGAAAAAGATAAACGTTATATGCGAAAAAGCAATATGTAATTCTTTAGAACTTCAAACTTCTTAATGCAATTTGTATAAAATCTTTCATTGCTTACAGTTGAAACTCTTCGTCTCTTTCATTGTATAAAGTTACCTAGTCAGTTTATTCTTCACTCCTTCGTCTCTTTCATTTTTCATACAAAATATTCCTTTGTCATGTCACTGAGGAGAGCCCGTCCATCTTCATCCAAATTTGCTTGTAAGTGGTCGCGTCGCTCTTCTCCTATGTTACCAGACCTAACCCTGATTCAGTCTCGCTATGAAGTGAGACCTACAAGGTACATTACTGAAATATTAATTGAAAGATTGTGAATCAAGGAAGAATGTGTCGAAATTTTGGACATGTTGGCTTGGAAAAACTGGTTGTTTATTAGGTGTAGCACCTACAAGTGGCTAACTTTGGAATTCCTATCTGGCTTCGGGCTAAAATATGACCCCGACCATCCCGATGCTCTCGGGCAAATAAACTTTGAATTGAACTTCTCAAGGATAATTACTACTTAAACAGAATTTTGAGGACTCCTGTGGATGCATGTAGGAGTCCACCGATTTGGTACAACGTGAGAGAAGCATGGCTATTGCTGTCAGGTGGGACTGATGCCTTCAAAGACACTGTTTTTACGACAAACTCTATACGAAATAGGACCTTAAGTGAAGTCCATTTGTCTATTTTTATGAGATATGATATAAAATTATTTGAATATAGGATTAATTGCGTGAAAATACTAACGTATTTTAATTTTAATGTAATTTTTATTTTTCATTAATTAGTCATTATATTTACGTTAATTTCAATATGAAATTATGTTTTAAAAATATAAAAATTTTAAAAAATAAAATAAGTAATACTTAATATTATACAAAGTACGTAAAACCATGAGTCTAAAACGAGTAATAATTGCACTTCATAAAAAAAAAAACTAATCTACACCATATATAAATGTGAGAATACGGAGAGATAATGAGATTTCCGATAACACTCTTAATGAAAGTTAGATATTCTAAAATAACCTTAGTCTTAGCCAATTAGAAAATTATATTTTACTGGTTGATTGAATATAACTATAAAAGTTATTTTTTGAATATATACATATAGATAATTAAATATTTCAAAATTATAAGTTTCATCATTTTTAAATTTGTTTAGTAAAAATATATACGATAATGAGATATTTAAAATTTTGTATTTTATTTTTAACTATTTGATTCTATTTGAGTATATTTTATAATATTTTATTTATGAGGGAGATAAAAAAAAAGAAAAATTATATTATTTTTTATTTAGAGATATTTAAAATTTTGATATCTTTATTTTTAACTTTTGATTCTATTTGAGTAATATTTTATAATTTTATTTATGGGAAAAGGGGGGGGAAAGGATAAAAAAAAAAAAAACAAAAAAAAAAAAAAAAAAAGAAAAAAAAAAAAAAAGAAAAAATTATAATTATTTTTTTATTTATATTTATATGATTTTAATTGAATATATTTTTTTAAAAAATAAAGTTTTCAAATAGAATACTTATAATTTTATTTAGGAGAGAGATAAAAAATGAAAAATATATTTTTTATTAATATTTTTTTCTTTATACTTGTATGATTTGATTGATATATTATTTAAAAAAAAATTCAAATAGTATATACATAATATTTCATTAGGAGAGAGATAAAAAAGAAAAAATAGAACATTCCTTTTATGTATTCTTTTTTATTAATTAATTAAATTATTTATTTATTTTAAATTTGTAACTTAGAGAAATAGATAACAAAATTAGATCCTAGCATGATTTGCTTTGTAATTTCCATTAATTGACTTGGCTACAGTCTTTTTTATTTATTTATTTCTTACACTTCAATATCAAATTTTATTAAATTACAATATTCTTAGTTAAAGAAGATGATGATTTTTGAAATCAAATTGGTAATTAAATTACAATATTTATTAATTACACTTTGTTTCTTATTATATGTTGACTTCCAAAAGAGTTCTATTTTTAATAACTATTTTTAATAACAATTTTTTTATTTTTTATTTTCTTTTTCATTACTGAATTAATTTGTAACTACTATTACTTTAATTTAGTAAGAGATTTATATCTGAAACAACCCAAATTTTTATTTTCAAAGATTTTCTAATTAAATTTAATAAACCGACTGCCTGAAAATTTATTTCAATATTTTAATGCGAATACTGTGAGAAACCGAACCGAAAACCGATTAAAAAGCCGAAAACCAATGAAAATCAAAGATTTGGGTCGAATCGAACCGAATCGAACCGGTTCGACCCAAACCATCTAGAAAATTCCCTTTCTTTTTTTTTCTAGCGCTGCATCTCTCTACTCTGCGACCATCAGAGCAGCGCCTCCTCCTTTCTTCTTCTTCTTTCTTCTTCTTCTTTCTTTCTGTCTTTCTTTCTTTCCCTTTCTTCTTCTCTCTTCTTCTTTTGCTGTGACTGCGCCTGCGTCGACCTTAGCCAGCAACAGCAGAGGCGCGATCCACAGCCAGTCGCACCGTCTCATTGCGCGCAGCACCGCTCGCCCCGCCCCTGCGCGCGCCACAGCCAGCGGCTCGCCTGCAGCAGAGCGCTTCATCTCGCAGATCGGCGGTTCAGGTGGTCTAGCTACATCCAGACGACTCCAGCCACCTGCTTGCGTCCCAGTGAGCGCAGTTTAGAGATCGCACGTGTGCAAGTCCGATCTAGATCTACAATTTGCGACAGAAATTAATAAACTTGGGGTAAAAATTAATTTAGTTCATTTAAATTTAGTTATTTTGCGTAGTTAATTAATATTATGTGGTGAAATTTATTTAAATAGTATTAATTTATTGATTAATAAAATATTTAGTTAGTAATTTTAGTTATTTAGTTAGTTAAAATGAATTCAAAATAGTTATTGATTATAGTTAGTTAAAATTTCGTTAGATAAAATTAATTCAAAATAGTTATTGATTAATTAATGTGAAGTAACTATTGATTAATAAAAATAATAGTTAGCTAAAATTAAATTCAGTATTAAATAATTTATTAATTTATTAGGAAATTTTGGTAATAATAAAATTTATGGAATTTAAGTGTAGATTGAAGGTAGATTATATTGTATGTAATTTTAATTTATAAATTATGGATGTAGGGGGTGATGTTAAGGTTGAATGTAGTGTTGATATTGTTATTCGGATGGAGGATGAGAAAAATTGAATTGATTGATTGCCCGATGGATGGGCCGTGTGGTTTGGAATTATTAATATATTGTTGATATTTTAACAGGTAAATAGTTCAATTTTTAGGGGAGATGTTGCCGAAATTTCGGTAGAAAATAAAATAAATTTCAGTAGAAAATAAAAATAAATTTCGGTAGAAAAATAAAATATTCGGTAGAGGAATAAAAATAAATATTTCAGAAAGAAAAGTAAATGAAGATAAAGTTTATAATAGAGATAATAAAAGATTTTTACAGAAACAGAAATTAAATTCGGAGATTAAAATTAGTAGAAAAATTTAGAAATATAAATGAAAAAATATTAAGAAGGTAAAGAATAATTTGTCTGATAGAGGGTTATTATCTTTTTGATAATTCGCTTACATTATAGATCGCCCGGGTCAGTCTAGTGCTCCTCTCGGTAAGAATCAAAGCTAAGAAGCTTCGTTCTCGCCCACTGTGAGTATAAATCAAGTTAATGGCATATACAACTGCATTTTTGCATATCATTTATATTATAAAACATTATATTTTTATTTTACATATTACAATATTATTATAAGTATTTTATCATATTATATGTTACGATCACTATAATTATACTTATATATAATTGTGCATTTGGATGAAATTGGTGTTTATGATGAATGAATTGTCTGATTATTTGTGTTGTGGCTATGCTGTGATTTGTTTGTGTGGAATTGGGATGAAGTGGGTCACCATGGGTTTGGGAGAATGGTAAATGTGATATGGATCCTGAATATAATATGAAATTTGGCCCGGTAAACGGGAGATCGGTGCCCCCGTGTGCACCTATCGCTATGATTTGTGTGATATGAAAAATTACAAGTTGGCTTCTTTATTGGGCGCACCCGATAATCTAGATCTGATCGCAGCCCACAGGGTGGCCTCCTGTTGTGAGCGCTTGAAGATCTAGATTTGATGGAGAGATTTGATGGAGACGATCCGGGGTTGCTCTGATTGTATGAAAAAGAAAAGAGAGAATGGAAAAACAATTGAGAGGGTGGTCAAGTGAGGATTAGAACAGGTCTGGCAGTATGGGTGGGATCGGCCTCCTGGCTGCACATGTGAGAGGATGAGCATAGTGGGGAGGACGGCTTCATCGGGGGTTCCGGTGGATCCACTGACTCATTTCCACGTTGATGTGATTATATTTTGAAGAGGTGAATTGTTTTGTAGGTGCTTGGATGTGATGCCATAGATGATTGACTGTTGTGTGTTCATTCAGTATACTAGGGGTGCATTTATAC